TATCCTTAAAGTATAGTGCTATAGCGCGCTAGACTGCAGGCGATAACTAGGACTAAATGTATATAAACCTTGCCTCCTTATCCCTAATAAAGACCTCGTCTGCACGCAGTTTAAACTCTATAGTTATTTGCTAGGAGGAGAAGTTTGCCTTAGTGCTATTATATAGCAAGCTAACTAGGAAAGGTTTGTAGCGTGAGGCAGGAGAGGGCGGAGGCAGCATGTTATTAAACCTAGCGGGCTTAGAGGAGGGTTAGGATAGAATCTAATTGCGTATTTCCTTGTTCTGTTAACGTAGTATAGCTATTATAGCGGAGTCTTAAGCCTGTTGTTCTATTAATCTATAGACCTGTTGTATTAGCCTTTCTACTGTATTAGGTTGCACCTGGTTATTCTAAACATCTGGTGCGTCTATCTCTTATTACTATTATAGTATATTTAGAAGAAGATACTAAAATGTTATAGACTGGCCTTAAGGGAGAATGCAATAAGCGTTAATAATAGTATTTAGTATCTTAAAGGAGAGGTAAGCCCTCCACGCCTTTTTATGGGTGTCCAGTGTGTTCGCTTAGTAGTGGTGTTAGACTCAGTCCGTCTTGTGTTAGACCCAGGCTTGGGCATAAGCCCAAGCCCTTTACATCTGCTCTACTAGTAGAGAATATATTATTAACGTGTTTAGAACACGTTCTTAAGTATTTACTATTAAGCTCCTATAGAAGATCCTTACTTCTATAATACCTTATATTATAGTTCTACTATAGTTTACTAGGGCTATTTAAACCTTAGGATAATACCTCTTAAGGTAGTAGATAAGATTACCTCTATTAGAGAAGCAACGCTAAAATAGTTATTAATATATTATAAACGTGTTCTAACTTGTATATATACATACTCTATAAAGTTTCTATACCCCTAATCTAGCCTAAATAGCCTAGTAGAAAAGCTTGCTAGGAAATACTATACACCTATTATTTAGGTAGGATATTATAGGAGAGAATACCCTAGTATTAGATAGAAGTAACTTAAGCTTAATATATTGCTAGTATAAATCCTACTTAGTATTAGAACAAGTTTATAATATATTCCTAACGCGTTCTATTATATACTAACTTTAAAAGATCTTTATAGACTATATTAACTAGTTATATCTAATAATATTAGGAAAGATAGATAGTAAAATAGTATTAAACTCTTAAATATAAAAAGTTCTTATAGAGTGTAAGAAGAAAGAAGAAGAAAGAGAAGAAGAAAGAATATATATTTATCTACTTATATATACTTATATAATAGACTAGAATATATTAAGAACTAGTTAGGAACTAGTTACTATATTTATAAACTAACCCTACCTTATATAAAAAGTAGCTATCTCTTTCTTAAGTTTAAACTATACCTTTTATAATTTAAATAGTGCCTTTTTCTATACAAGTTCTTCCTTATCTACCTCTAGCTTTTCTTTTCTCTCCTTTAGAGCCTAATTACTAAGAAGAGCCTTTTATTATAAAGTTTGTAGTTATAGACTAATAATAAGTTAGGAACGTGTTATAAACGTGTTTTGCGAAGCATACCTTTAGGTTACTATTAGTAGAGGAGAAGAGCCTAGTAGTAGAGAAGATAGAAAAGGGGCTAGTAAACTTCTTTCTAATACTACTCTACTACTTACCCTCTAGCTTTAGGCTTTTAAGTGTGCTCTTTTATTTCTTATTAGGACTAAGATATATCTAGTTAAGTTAGATATAGCAAGACTTGCTTTATTATTATCTAGAGTATTATTATTATTATAGGACGTGTTCTAAATATATTCTAAACACATTTTAATTAGTAAATATATATAACACTAGTATAAGACTTACTTTCTCCTCTCTAAAGCTTTTTAAGGTACCTTTACTTAAGCCTATTAAGAGTTCTATAGTTATAGTATATTCTAAACTTACTTTAGGCTTTAAACTCTTTTATATCCTATAAATCTATCTAGTGTACACTATATAATATTACTTATATAATTCTAATAGGTTAAGAATAGGTTGTAAACTTACTTCTAAGTAGCCTTAAGAATACTTATATGCTTACTAGTTTTATATCCTTTCTAGCCTGCTTGCTTAGCTACATTTAAATAAGATTCTAGTTTTTCCTATACCTCTTTTAATATTTTACTATAGTATTACACAATCCTAGTAGTAATTACTAGGTTTTTCTTATAGATTGCCTAGTTTTAGGTATCTTTAGAGGGTTCGTGTTCTAATTATATAAGAACAAGTTAGGAACACGTTTAGAATAGGTTTAGAATATATTTACTTACGTAAGAGGAGGTTAGCAAGCTAAAAGTATTCCTCTACTATTAATACCTGTAGTAATTCACTTAGATATAAAGAGGTAGTATTATCTAGCTCTCTTTTACATGCTTTATAAATACTTCTTTATAGATATACTTAACAAAATCTTATACAAGATTAAAGTTGCTAGCGCTAGTTACGCTTATAGGGATTAATTAACTAGAGATAGCGCCTAAGTCCTAGAAACAAGTTAGAAACACGTTACAAACATGTTACAGTGCGCTATAAAACTTGCCTATTATCTACTTGTTATATATATTAATAGTAGTCCTATAGAATCCCTATAAGTAAATATACCTCTATAACACTTATCTTTTTATAAGTGCTTTACACTTCTAAAAGAAGTTAGTAATAGTAACTTAATATATCTTAGTTATATCCTTATCTATAATAATTTAGCTAAGTATAATAACTATAATATGTTAGAAACGTGTTATAAACCTATTCTTAATATATACGCTTCTTTTCCTATAGGTAGAAGATTACTATTAGAATCTCTACCTATACCCTATATAACCTCTTATATAATCATCATCTATCTAGAACATGTCTTAATCTAATAGAATTAATACCTACTCTTTAAAAAGGCAAATAATTAAGTTACCTAAGCTTAATATAAAGATTTGCTATATATACGCCTATAGTAACGTGTTAGTAACGTATTCTAAACCTGTTCTCTTACACTACGTATAGTTTTAGGATCCTAATACTTTGTCCTCTACTTATAGTGTACTCCTTTAAGGCTACTCTTAAATAGGAACTATAGAAGCTTTTTACACTTTATAATACGCAAGATTTTATCTTTATTTGTAAAGCTAATATATATTTCTTTAATAGAATAGAAACCTTTAAGTTAGAGATAGGTTTAGAGCTAGGTTAAGTTTAGGAACTAGGCTATAATAAGTTAGGAATATATTTATAACAGGTTATAAATAACTTATATTACGTAAGCTATAGAGTAAGTATAGGCTATAACACCTTTACTACTTCCTTAATATTACTATTAGATAGTGTTAAGGGAGGAGGAGGTATATATATATATATACTAAAAGAAATAATAGTAAAAAAAGGTATTGCTACTATATCTATTAGTATAATTACTTAGAAGGTAACTTTACACAGGATTTTAAATAGAGATCCTTACCCTTATAGATAATTAACGCCTAAAACATATTAGGAACATGTTAGGAATAGGTTATAATATACCTACTATACTTCTTTATCTAGCTTAACTGTGGCTTAACCACAGAATATAAAGCAGGACTACTAGAAAGATTTAATATCTCCCTAGTTAGAAGACCTTGTAGATATATAGAGTCTACCTCTAGTAGTACCTAACTAAAATAATATTTTTTCCTAGTAGCAGATATTAGGCTATAGTTCTAATAGCTAATATATAGTTAAGCCTATTCTATAATTTACTAACTTATTATTAATATATTTTAAATATATTTAAGTTTTGCTCCCTACCTAATTTACTATAGTCCTTATTATAGGATAATAAGACACCTAGTAGTCCTTATAAATCCTTAAAGAGAAGCGCTTAATAAGGCTATAATAATAGCTTCTTATTTATAGTTCTCTTTATAGAATTTTCTTAGGTACTATACTTTTTAAGGTTTAGATCTAATTATATAATACGTTATTAATAACGTAATAAGAACATGTTTATAACATGTTCTTAAGATACTTACATACTTTTACCCTAGAGTATTAGTATTTATACTAGCTTACTAGCTAGCTATTAAAGAATAGTAAAGTTGTAGGCCTATTAAGATAGACAGACTAGTAGAAGTATTGTACCTACTAGAATTAGAATAATTTAAGAACATGTTCTTAATATATTACCTATATAGCCTATATAAGTACCTCTTCTCTTATTAGGTAAGAGCTATCTTTATATTACTAAACTAGTATTATATACTTATACCCTTAGCTATATAATTAAGGGTATACTAGGAGAATAGCTATATACTTAATAATTACTAGTGTAAGTAGTAGTCCTTAACTATTACTATAAGTAAGGTATATATTATACCCCTATAACGTGTTACTAACCTATTCTAAACTTATTCTATTTACTTTTACTTACTTCCTTAACGCTACTACTACTATCCTCCTCTAGCACTTTATATAGTTGCCTAAATTTATCTCTAATATTACTATCTAGTTTAGATATATTATCTAGTACTACTATACTAAACTCTAGTATAGTATTTAGGAACACCTATATATTATTAAGAATAGGTTTAGAATATGTTTAAAAAAGATAGTAATAAAAACTGCATTTACTTGCTTAAATTACCCTAATTTATACTTAACTATAGGCTAGTTTATATAACTATAAAAATTTGCCGCTGTGACGTGGACTTGAACCTATAGGGATATTCTAACCACTCGGAGTAAAGCCCAAGTCGCCCGACGCTAAACCCATGGTCATATGACATGCCACCACCGACACTAGGTATGGAGTACCGGTATGAAGGTCGTGCTGATCTAGGCCTGGAGACACGATTCATGAGCCCCCCTGGAGTTTAATATTTCAAAGTGATGGGTCAAGTGTAGAATAAAAGTCTATAAAATATAAGTGTCGAAGCAATACATGTAGCTTTGCCCTGGTCTATCGCAGCAATAGTATCAATGTGAACCGGTAACCTTCCTATCTCTCTACTATTTCTTCTCTATGACGTCCCCATCCGCCTCTTTCGGCGTATGCATCCCTGATACCTCCCCATCCTTCTTTACCCCAACAAACGTGATACGAGCCGCGCTGGGCCTTCCCTTACCTGTCACCTCTCTCCACATACCTCCAAAGTTCCTCTTCAAGCTGGCCCTGCCTTCCCACAATGGATACACGCCCACAGCCAAAGTCGAGCAGAGGAGCCAGATGATACCGACAATGACCCAGCCCGCGAAAAACTTCTCGCTGAAGATATAACCTGAGCCGTATAGTGGCATAGGCCAGAGAACCAGGAGAATGAGTGTGAGCGTTGCTGTTGTGATCTTTGCAATCCTGGAAGCGCGGAATAGTTTGGCTTGTTCCGCGGCCTCGGCTTCAGGGCTGAGAGCAGAGTGGCGGCCGTGCACGGCTTCGAGGTCCATGTTTGCGGCTGCTGTGACATCAGAATCATCGACAAGGCGAATCTGTTTCATAGAGATCCAATCGTAATTGTCTAGAGGGAATGTCAGTATTGTTGGGGGGACATTCCAAGATGCTTACGTACCAACACCGAAAATTAGTGTAAACACTGGGATGAATACCATGGGAGACAACAAGGCGACAACGTTGCCAGCCAACATGGGATTGTTGGCGCCAGATGTTGCAACTGAGATTACACCATCGTTTAGCTTGGAGGTTGTGACAAGCCACGCGGTAATGCTGCAGCAGAGACCCAGGATCGGAGAGAGGGTTGCTGCCCATTTATTCTGGCCCTTCCACATCAAGGTAAGAGCAGCGGGAAGTACAGCAGATGAGATGATGACACCCATGAACACGTACAGCCAACCCATGCTGATTATTTGTTAGTCAAGCCATGAATGATAGCCAATAGACTCACCTGATGCCAGCATAGTGCAATCCAGTGGAGAAGCCTGCCATGACAAGACCGAATCCACAAACACATACATGCGAAGTGTACACCAGCCTTTTTCCGCTAGCGTTGGTGTTGATATATGCCCCGTACACTGTCGTTGCGTTAGTTCAGCATCAATGCATACATATGAGAATTGCATACCATCATAAGTCAAAATCGAAGAGACAGCAATGAGCTGAGCGGAAAATGCAGAGGTAACCGCCATGAAGACAATCAAAAGCGTGCCCACGGCTCCTCCAGATCCCAGAAGGGCAACTGCAGCATACGGCAGCGTAAGACCGGCACTAATATCTGCTTCCGCCATTACATTTGGATAGGTAGGAAAGTATTCCGTGTTCTGTAAAGCCAGTGCGGCCAGGCCCATTGTTGTCGCGCAGAGCCACTTCGTTATGTCAGTAGATTTACAATATGTTTTCAATTGCTCCAGATACTTACTGGGATAGCAAACCAAGAGAGTCCACCAATGATGTATCCAGGAAGCGCGTGAACCGGAGACGCGGCGATGGCTTTGTTATAGTATCCGTTGTCCATGAAAACTGTCCCAAAGTTGCCAATGATGTTGATGACGAAGAAAATAGCACCTTCCTTACTCCTAATCGTGAGATAGCTTCCTCCTGCATTACCTGGAACTGGCGTGATGTTCGAGAGCTCTTGGAGTCGGTCGTAGACAGCCTTTGGGGAGCCGAGACGATCGCCCGTAGCATATGTCGTGAAAGCGAATATCAACAAGATGACCAAAAGAATCACAGTGTGGATATAATCAGTAAGGAATGTAGCCTTGATGCCACCAAACATGGTGTAAATGACGACTCCGAGCGGGAGCAGGAAACAAGCGGCCGCAGTGGGGACCCCAGTCAAAGAGGTGATGACAGCCGAGCCACCGGTGAGCAGCATGGCGGTGACGAGTATGTTGGTGAAGAGGCCGAAGGTTATGTAGACACAATGTGTCGCCTTTCCATAGCGAGCGCGAACGGCTTCGAGGAATGTCTGGTCGGTGTTAGATTGCAGGTGCTATGGTTGGAAGCATGGGTGAAGTGCACTCACATGAGCATTGGGAGCCCTTCGCTTCAACTCAATCGCAACCGTAGCGAACAGCAGGATCTGAACGGTAGCTCCAGCAGCATACCACAGTGGACCTGAGACACCTGTGAAATATCAGTATTCATCCAGATACGGGCTGGAGGAAGGTTGTGTACCATAGCGAAAGGCAACCGAGGAGCTCTGCAAAAGGGTAGCAGCCCAAGTCCAGCTGGAAACAACAGCTGATGCGACGAGGCCAGATTTGACGGAACGCCCGGCCGTCGAGAACATTTCTGATGTTTGGAGTTCGTTGTTGTAGCGCCTGAGAACCCATGTTGTGAAGACCTGTTGTTGATTAATAACCCGTCTTTGCAATCGAAAGAAGAATATATATACCATGCCCAGAGCGAACAAAAACCCAATACCAAGAACGATACCATATCCCCAGGCCTGGCCCAAAGGCGATGCTGAAGGTCCAACAGGAGTGCCGCCGCCAGCCATTGTGTAAATATGTTTGATTCCAACAAAGGCACAAAACACCAAAGTGGCGGGACATGGTTGTATCTTATCTCATTCACCAGAACGCTCAGGCGCATTCTCGGCATTGCAACGGTGGTGGGCGGCCACACGGGCAGCTGGCCAGGGCATCTAAGTTCAGTTGAGGGAAGATAGGTTGCATGGTACTTACCTAAGATGATGATTGTGTACACTAGCGACGGACCGCTATCTTCACACCGATACGCCCACCCACCAACTGGCTGTAGCCCCTATCAGATTAGCCTTTGATCGAGAGGGCTTATATTGTTCTGGTTATGTCTGCGGCTAGTACCTAGGCGGTCGTTGCACTGCACCCACAACGTCGCTCCAAGGATGCTACTACCACATTTTGATAGAAGATCAATATGACGTGGCAAGCAGAAACGCGACTGTTACAAGCGCATACCTACGGTGTTGGCCAACATCAGGATTCACAACAGCATCAACGCTTAAAAACATTCGACCATGCTTGGTAGATCACCATCCGAGCTCTAACAGATTACCGTCGAGCATGAAACACCCGCCGAAGCTTACCGGTACTGTCGAAGCTTCAGAAAGCTTAACAAGGTTGAACCCGACTATAACACATGAGCATCACGTAAGAACAAACCTTGATAAGCAGCCTCTCCTTCCCCTCGTTGCCATAATAGTGTGCTATTCTTTACCATCAAGAACGCATATTAGAGGTAGCTATTCGTATTCTCCCGAGATTCAAGCCAGAATCATACCTACACACTCTTCACCCAAGCAAGAGAGTATCAGGTAAGACAGACATCTGTGAATTCGATACTAGAACTAACATCCCTTGAAAGCATTCTCACATAGCACACTAAGACAAAGCATGTTGCACGCTCCCCTCCCGCCCTGCACTAATTCCATCTATCGGCCCAGTGAACCCGCCTAGCCCGTTTCAATCCTTGAGGCTGCATCTTCAACCAAAACACCAAGGAGAATACCATGCAGCATACCTAACCCACCTCCATCCCCCAAACCCACCAAACCCACACACCGAACACACCGTCCACCCATCCCAACACCCATCCCAACGCCAACCAAACCCCACAATCTCCCACCCTACCCCAAACGCACAGCAAAACATCGCCAACGCGCACCCTCAAGTCTAATTGGCCACAGATAACGCTAGCTGGGCGAGCATTCCCCACGCCTAGAACTCCGATTGCACATGGCGGGTTAGAGAGCCAGCCCAGCAACCAGCTTCTACGGCGCGATGAAAGCGCTTGTACATCATTGCATTCTTTGAGTAAGATGGAGGTGCGGCGTGGGATAAGTCAAGCCCTTGGCGGTGGCATGCACAATAGGATAAATTCCGCGTTTGCACTGATCCCGGGACTGATAAGAGAATGGCGGGTACCGGTATGGTGGCGGGAGCGTGTGCTGTGCGTCTACTCTGGCTGCTGTGGGAGTTGCGATTGGAGACGTGGGTGTTTGATGGTGTGTACAGTAAGCGCGATGCCTTGCAGCTTTTGCCGTGGAGTTGTGGAAAGGGTGTGGGTATGGGGAGTGATGGTGGGTGTCTGGTGGGACATGGTACTGACAAACACATCACAAAAAGCAAAAGCCCAATATCTCTTCCTTCTGTACAGTACAGTACACGCAGCACACGCAGCACACTTTCCCAACCGGCACTTTGGCTCCAAACTTGCCGTGCTGTATGAATAGTGGGAACAGCATGGACAATCGTTCATCTATTTGGGAAGCGCTGGCAGGGCAAGAACGGGCAAGATAGGCTGCGTTTCCTTTGACCTGCAGGACTTTTCCTAAACACAGGTTGTTCAAGGAAATGACGCGGTGAGGAGTGATACGTCACAAAAGCCAGAAGAACTTCTCCCTATTGTGCATGTCCATCATGCTGATACTCTACAGCCAACTTCCCCAACTCCTCTCACTCTATACAACCACCCCCCACCCATCCATAACAAAACACACCCCAACTCCCCCCTCCTACCTCCCACCACCCATCCTCTCCCGCTGCGCCTCCGCCCCCCGATGAAACGCATTCTCAGCCTGCAACCCCGCCGACACACTCGACCTCCTACCCCCCTGCCGCGCAACCGACGAATTCCGCCTCGAACCCGCATACAAGCCCGGTAAATTGCTGACACGGCGGCCGCCCGTCTCGTCGCGGGCCGCACTGAGTTGCTGGGCAAACGGGCTGCGTTTGCGGAGAACGGGGCCCTTCCAGTAGATGATGTAGACGGAGACGACGAGGAGGAGGGAGATTGCAAAGAGAATCGTCGACGCGTACGCGAGGTGGTTTTTGCCGCCAATGTTGGAGAAGAAGGGGGTGGCGGGGAGGGTGAGGACTCCGGCGAGGAAGTCGCGGGCCCAGCCGTTGCCGCCGGTTGCAGAGGCAGAGTAAGGGCCGTAGGCGCAGATCATGTAGTCGATGGTTGCCATGTAGATTGCGTAGTTTGCGATGCCAATGACGGCGGAGCCGATTAGAGGGGCGATCCAGTGGATGGGTGGTCCGGTCGAGGTCCATGCGAAGATGATCAAGCCGATGGGAAGGCAAGGGGCAGTGTACAGTAGCCACCAGAGTCGAGCTTCGTACTGTGCGTGCTCGTCCTGTGGTTTCTCCGTCCGCAATCGGATATTACGCTTGATTGCTGGGAAGAAGGAAAACCATGCGATGAAGTATCCAATCCCAATGGCGACAAATGACAGGCCGATTTGCGAGGCCGAGAACTCCCACTGTTCGAATACCAGCGCGTAGGACTGGAGGAACATGAAGATGATGGCGTCGGAGAAACCAGACAGCAGTGATAAGACCAAGACGATGGGCTCAGTAAGAAACATGCGGAAGGGACGGACCCAAGTGATGATGATTTCCCGTGCGCTGAAGCGCTCCTTGAAATTTTTGAGCTCGTTGGGTCCAAAGATGTTGACTGCCTTGCCATTCTTCTCGCCCTCCGTACGGCGCTTCTTTGCGATGCGATCGAGCAAGATGGTTGTGCGAGTCTCTGGGACACAGACGGCGTGCAACATCTGAACCGCGCCACCAAAAATCAACTGAATCCATATGTTCCATCGCCATGCTAGAAACTGTTCAACGAAACCTCCAACAATGGGTCCGAGGACTGATCCGCCAACGGACGAGAAGACAATAAAAGCTACGGCATATTGCTGGTTATCAGGCTCCCACCTATAACATGTTAGTGGGCCTCTTTGTGTACATGCAGGAGAAGATACGTGCATGTCAGCGACCATGGCCAGCGTCACCGAACCACCAGCAGTCGAAAGACCACCAAGTGAGCGACAGACCAAAATAGTGGCGAAATTCGGTGCAATTCCCACAGGAATCTGCCAGATGTTGACAAAGAACAAACTCAGCTGGAGGATTGGCCACCTTCCCAGCTCCTCACTCCAGGGTGCCCACAGCTCGCAGCCAAAGGCATAGGTAATTAAGAAGAGGGCAGCACCAAGTCGCGCCGCTTGTGCGCTGACGCCAAACTCAGATGAGATGCCAGTGACGGCATTGCTGTAAAGCGATGTGTTGAAGTTCATGCTGACCTGTACGAGGAACACGATGCTGAGAATAGTCCATTTCTTCCATGATGGGAAAGAGAAGCCCAGCTCGTCATAGCAGTCCTCCTCTGTGATCTCGTAGCGATCGTAGGTGCCGTATTTCCCGTAGTGCTGGCGGTCTGCCTCGCTAGAGGCAAAGTCCGTTGGGCTGTCGTGATGGCCATTTCCAGAGAGAGTGCTCTTCCTCTCAGTGTCGCCGGCTTCCTTGTGGTCGAGGGTGTCGGGGTCATGAATTGTGGGCTTGACCTCCGCTGCTGAAGCCATGATGAGGGAAGAATGCGGTCAGCTCTTCCAGTGAGACGGTAAGAAGCACACGCCCTAGTATTGAACCTGCATAAAATGGAAGGATGTGTGTGAAAGATGAGGGCTGGTTCTCGGATGTGGGTGAGGTCAATAACGAATGATTATCGATGAACGTCACAACTGCGATGCGGAAGAAGCGCGCTTCATGTATGTACATTGGGCCCAGGGTGATGTCGTTAGGCGGCGCGGTTGCCGGACTGGCAGGACCGAGTGCATCACAGGGTTACTTTCCACCCGTCACAACGTCATACAGGACCCTTTGATACTGCAGAGTGCTGAGAAGTTGCAACCGCTACTGTCAACTAGGTCTAGTAGAGTAGTAGAGAGCTGTTAGAGGAGCGTACTGGGACCTCTCAGAAAGCGATAAACGTAGTGGCAATAGTGGGTCAAAATGGGGCAAGACACCGGGGGGAGGAGAGGAGAAGAAACTCTATAGTAGAAGGGAGACATGTGCATGTTTACTTACACCTTGCGTGCTGCTACGTCATGTTGTTGATTCTACCGGTATTCATCTCCCTAGATCGTAACCTCCCAACCCTGAACACCAAACATTGCTAGCTATCTTCAAAATCGTGCCAAATAAGCAATCTCCAAGACACGCTCCCTCCTCCAAGGCCGATCAAGCCTCGATCAAGGCCTCCACCAGCGACACCAACCCGCCCTGCCAAGTTTGGCTCTGCAACCTGGGTCTTATTTCCGGTTTCCCAATGTTCCCACCGGTGATGCATGACGTCACGCCGATCTACACCGCTAACCTTGACCCCCGTGGAAGCTCTAGCATCGCGCGGTGCATCAAACTGGGAGTAAACTGTTGGCTTATGCTCTACTCTACTCTACTCCATTTCCTAGTACATGACCATCAGACGCTGTGATCCAGGTACTTCCCGGACAGCGAGCGACAGTTCCACGAAACAACGCAAGTGTGGTTAGCTAGAAGAGACGTATGTTGCACTTCACGTCCAAGAAGGTCCAACAGATGGTTCTGCGCTCCTACGACTAGCTTGAGCTTACTGTCTGATGATACAGCCATGCTCATGCGATGATTCCCTTACTGGTCATGGCAAGTAGTAGGACATAGTGCATGCACGGCTAGGGGTGTCATGTCTTGCATCCACCACAAAAACATCCATTCGAGACAGTACTGGTTTTCAATGCACATCCATGTCATTATGCACGTCACACCTGGGAATGCACACACAGTGTTGGAGTTGGAAAGATTCATTCCAGATATCTAACCTCCTTTCTTCCTTTACGTTCCAGCCTAGAAAAGAGATCGATTCACATACCAGTTACATCAAGTTAGGAGCCCAAAGGATAAAAGTATGCATCGTGCGATGATCCCCAACGCCCTAATGCCCAACATGTCCATACAGTTTGCATGCTTGTAAGTAGCGAGCCCAGATCGTAGCCCGGGCTACAGTATGCAACGCGTGCGCTATTCATCAACCCGAATCAAGGGCAGACGGCGAGTTGCTGCCATTTACTGGCTGGCAACACGCTCCTTGACCTTCTCGAACATGGCCTCCATCTCCCCAGCGATGAAGTCCTCAATCTCTGCCTCGAGCTTCTGGAGCTTTCCACTAGCGTGGTGCGCCTGGCGGCCAGCAGACTCCTTGGCCTTCTCAAAGTCGGCCTCGATGTCGGCAAGAGAAGGAATGGCAATGTGGAAGTCAGACTCCTTCTCCTCCTTGATAGCCTTCTTGACGGTGTAGCCACCCTTCTCGACAATCTCAGTGTAGTTGGATGAACCTCCACCGTTCCAGGCAAGGATGTTCTTGGTGTTGCTTGGGACGTCAGAGAGGGCACCGACAGTGGCAACAGAGATGAGGTTGGCCTTGAGCTTCTTAGGAGTGATGTCGGCGACAGCGTAGGCAGAGTCCTTGGCGGGCTGGAGAGACAGCATGTAGGCAAGGAGACCAGCAATGTGAGGGGAGGCCATGGAGGTACCGGAAATGGTGTTGGTGGCGTGCTCAGAGCCGATCCAGGTCGAGAGGATGTTGAGACCGGGGGCAAAGATGTCATTGCACTTTCCATAGTTGGAGAAGTAGGCACGCTCATCAAGGAGGGTGGAGGCACCGACGGTGACAGCGTTCTCAGCAGCAGCAGGAGAGTAGTTGCAGGAGTCGGCATTGTCATTACCGGCAGCGACGGCGAAGTGGATACCAGCATCGACAGCAGCATTGACAGCAAGGTCGAGAGTGGTAGACTTGCCACCTCCCAAGCTCATGTTGGCTGCGCTACCCTTGAAGCCCTTCTTCTTGCCATCCTTGGCAGCCTTGACGGTATCAATGTGAGACTTGGCAGCCCATTCGACACCCTTGACGACATCGGACATGGTGCCAGAGCCGTTGGAACGGAGCACCTTGACGGCGTAGACGTTGGCCTTCTTGGCCACACCGTACTTCTTACCGGCAACCGTGCCGGAGCAGTGGGTGCCGTGGCCATTGCCATCCTCATCGGCATCGCCACTGGGAATGGTCTTTCCCCACTTGGCACGGCCCTCAAAGTCGACGTGCTTGGTGTTTGTGCCGGTGTCGATGACGTACACATCGACACCCTCACCACCGTCGGCGGCGTAGAGGTATTTGTTCCATGAGCCAAAGGTCAGGGAGTCGCGGTGGGAAATACGGGCAAGACCCCACGGCGCGTTCTTCTCGGTCTCGTAGTCGTCACCGAGAGTGTGGACCTCGGAGTCGCGCTCGATGTAGTCGACCTACCATGACGCGTCAGTGCCTGAGTACCAAGATGGATCACGTGCGATTGCGATATCCGGAGTTTGGGTGCGGAGATAAGCCCCAGCCTCTCAGCTCAGCTGAGTCCAGACGCCACCAGGCCGACCGCGAGTGGCGACATGGGGAGCTTGCTGGAGAGCTGTATCGAGCGCGACATAGTGTGTAGAATGGGGATGGCAAAATGCTCGTTTGCAGGTGCACGGATTCTGTCGCTTTGAGGCTTGAGTCGGAGCTCTAGGCAACAGCCACCACAGCCAGGACTCGCCACAAAGCCGGCAGAACGCGTCTTCCGCAAAGAACGCTGCGATGACGCTCGAGAATACATGATGTAGAAATAGCGAACGAAGAGAGAACCAAAAGAGTCATCACTTACATCAGGGTGTCTCCGGATGGCCTCGATGGTCTCGTCATCGAAGTGGCCAGAGTAGCCCATCATGCCGGCCATGTTGTATGTGTGCTTGAGACCATCAAAGATGGCAGACGACATGGGGAAGTCTGAGCGCTTCTTGAGCTCCATGCGCTCCTGGCTCTTGGAGTGAACGCTCTGCACCCATTCATGGTGCTCCTTGGCATGCGTGTCTTTGACATGCTTCTTGAAGACAACCATGTACGAGTTGGGCACCTCCTTTGCGTGTGTTGACGACAGCACGGGGGCTGCGTCTTTGTGGATGGTCTCAGTGGAGAAGGTGGGAGAGGCAGCGGCAAGCGCCGGCAGCACCGAGAGAATGCTGTACTTCATGATGGGTGGTGAATGGGGAGCTCGCACAGCGAGTGACTTGTATTCAAAGAGAGAGCGAAGTTGGTCGCAGCACTATTGAAGCTGCGAAGGAAGAGATGATGGAAGGGGGGATGGAAGTATGAGAGATGGAAGCTGGGGGAGAGGATGAGGAGGAGCAGGAGAGATGGGGGTTGGAGGAGCTGGAGCAACGGGTAGCTATGGGCGAGATGGAGCTCTTATCAAGGCGCCGAGGTGCATGGGCCCACTGGGTGACGCAGGTGACCTTGATTCGCGACGGCCGGGCTGTGCGACCGACAGACTAGGCACCTCGGGGGGGGAACAGTGAGGCTGGGGGTGGGGCTAGACCTGTTGCGGCCATGTTTGCACGCGCTCTTGTAGTAAGAGGCCGAGAGCATAAAAACTGACTCTCAGTTGCCTTGCTGTAGGGTAAGCGTGTGTATAGAGTAGGGAGGGAGGTGTGCCTGTGCCATTTGTGTCAAGATTGGGGAGACGGCTATTCCAGTTTGGTCGTGGGTTTACTATATATCTAGCCAGCCTTCAGTGTGATGTTGCTGCCTGTCCTATCTACTGTACCTAGGTACGTGTAGGTTACTCACCTGCATAAAGTAGAGTTACTATATCTACGTACTACCGTACCTATTGCCTACTTGCCTTGTTATCGAGGACCCTGACGGCTTTTGTCCTCGCTTGCTTGCCCGCTTTGGTTGCAGCTGTCATCCATCCCTCCTGTCTCGTGAACGTCTCCACCCACCCTCCCTCCCTCCCTCAAGTCACCAGCAGCAGCAACAACAGTCCGCGTGAGACCTACTTTGATTGCATAGCTAGTAGAGCCATGTTGAAGCTCTAAACGAGTCTGGAATGGGGTGGCACACTACACACTACCCTTCGGTTGACAATGCATCCGCACCCTATGGCCACCCACCACATACCGGTACATACTCCTCGCCGGCACGCTGCTGTTGTGGACACACCCATCCCACCCACCTACCACCACCACCACCACCACCACCACCACTCTCTCTCACTCCCGCAGAGGGCGGCTGAAAGCAGGAACTGGGAGTCCCCCTTTCTTGCCTTTGAGAACGC